TAGTTAACATGTGCACTCCTCTATAACGAGGCTCTCTACCTCCTCGGTTATGTGAACACGTATTCGCCCTTATCCTTCAAACGGAGTGTATGCTATATATTTTTGCAAAGTAAGAAACTGCACGTTTCAATGCAAACAAGAAGGGGCAGATTATTAGATGTTTTGTTGTACATATTATACACACGTTATCTTTTTAGCAAGCTTTAAAAGTGGAAATAACAAAATATTTATCACGTTTTGCGCAAGAACGCTTTCTATTTTTTTATCATTAGATCGTTTCAGTACTATAAGGGCGAGAATAATAATAAAGGTTTAAACATCCAATAAACTGTATGTGAGTGGGGGTGCTTTGAGGGTGTCTATACATCAGGATTCGTAGTATGTTAGGAAAGTAACAGTTCACATTTATTTTCAAATTCTCTCATTATTCTCCGCTTCCCTTGAACTTACCGTGTCTGGCTCCGACACCGAGACGTTTTTTTCAATAAGCATCCTGAGGGCGAGGTAATCACCTAGGGCTGCAGAAATGTGAGCAGCCGTCAGAGAATCCTGAAAAGAAAGAGTAAATTGGTAAACACCAATATAGATCCTCTAAAATAATCAATTTTGTTCAACGGCTATGCATTGTCCTATTTACATTCACTTGTGCGATTAATGTTGCCCAAGAACTGTTAAACGTTCAAAATGAAATTTACTGACGGACTCTAGTTAAAACTGGCCTTTATAACGAAGGCATTATTTCTTCCAAAAATCTATGAGTATAGCCTAAAGATTTTTATACACACAACAGACCGATAAATAGTAAGCAAATAACTAGGATTAAAGAGACAAAGTGGAATAGTGTACATAGAAGCATTCAAAAAATAATAAAACGAAAAGAAGGAATAAAAGAGGGGATGGGTATCCCGGCGGAAAAAAAAGAAAAAAATATTTATGCAGAGAGGAGGAACGACAGAGAATGCCAGTAGACTGATACAGTCTATTTCGGGCTTAGTCTACCTACAGTCAGCCGATCACAATCCTGACTACCAGCTATCCCTGCGGGCAGATAGATCGTAAGTACGGCATCAAAACAAACATCGCAGATCGGGTATTTATTCGAGCAGTAATGGGCGTATATCGATCCGTTACCGAACTTCTTTGCTTCGTAAAGCAATGGATCGGTGTAGCCATTTCTGGTTGGAAGATTGTTTGGTTGTGAAACGTCAGGACAATAAACGTGATCACCGTACCATCTCAGTAATGTCCGGAAACAAGCACTTTCGTTTCTATCAGGAATAAATATACACATATATATCTGCTAATAGAAGCGAAAATCCGAGTCCCCGGGCATAAATGAGAAGACCCCTGCGAGCCCATGGTGGACACACAAGTAGCCGCAACACAATCGGACGAT